CCAGCTTTTCTGGTTGCTGAGGTGAAAGTGGGTGACACAGTGCACTCGCTTTCAAACACACACACACACAGACAACCCCTCTTCAATAAGCGTTTTCTGCATTACATAGATGCAAAAAACGCATAAAAACTTGCAAAATGTATCACTGCTCATTTTTATCCATATACTGAGTGCGTTTCCCGATATGCCCGCTCACTGCTAACTAAACCTTTTCGATCGCGGTCGATGAATAAACAGCGTTAACCTTATAACTCCTCTTTCCTTCCTCCCTCCACTACCCCTTTCTCCCCAAGCAAAGTGTTTTCATTCTTGAAATAGAAAGGCCTTCCCCCGTCCTCTTCCTGTGCAGCACTGACATAAATATACCTTCGGAATTCATTGCCACAGGTAGACAATGCGCAAGCGATATGCCATACATGAAAGTTGAAACATCGTTCTCTTTATCCTTATGAACATTTCCGGAACCATCGATCTCGATCATCGAAAACAAGCCATCCGGCTTCAGCACTCGATTTATCTCCTTCAGGCACTAAACACACCACCAGTCCATTCTCACAATTTTCTGAGCTCTTCTCTCGCCCCCTGTGCTCTTTGTCCTTCTCCTTTCCATCCTTCCCTCCCCTTCTCCTTCCCCTCCTCTCCCCTCCCCCCGCCCTCCGCTCCCCCCCATTCGTTTCAAAGTCTCAGTCCGAAGGAAAACCTGGTGGCGAGGAGTACTCAAAGGGCAAGCAGGATCAAACGGAACCCTTGCACCGACAGCTGACTTGCGTAAGGGAAACTGCAATAGAAGCCAGATGTGCGTGGAAGTATTTGCAACAAGTGCTGGATTAGCATGGCAGAACTCGCAGTGAGATTAACAGCTACGTCTGGATTTCCGCAGAAGCAGCGTCACGTATAGGAAAGCGTTCAAAAACGGCTGTCGAATTCGTGTAGAATTACTCAAAACGCGGTCCTGAATCTAGTGCAGAAATTTGAGTCTCTGCTCGCTGCTTGGAATTTAGATCACCGGATTCATTTTCCCTGTTTCTTTTATTCAAATTTCGTTTTCTTCTACAAAGCGAGTTCCTTCTTATTGCCAAAGATCAACTGAATTGTAATTTATGTCAACCTCTGCATAACCCAGGCAAATCGCCATGAGATTTCACAAACCGCAACAAATCTGTAACGTTTTAAAAACTTGGCAGCACGAACAGGCTAAACTTTTAAGATCTCTCCGTCCTCGGGGGGAAGAGGGCCTTGATTAACTTCTCCACCCTAAGTATTGGAAACTTACAGCAACTCTCAGTTACCGAAAGAGAGATAAGATCACACAAGCACAGGAAGCTGAACTCAGTCTTGCCCAAAATCTGCCAGATCAGTGCCGTTTTCCTGATTTTTGCTCCATCATTTTAGATGCTGAAATCTGCTTCTCTTAAATGATTTACGTTTACTTCTTAAAATCAGAGGAATGAATATATTAGAAGAATATGAAAGATAGTTTACAAGATCGGGTCTCGTCTGATCATGGCAGGCATCAAATATCGTCACCCAATCGAACTTTTCTGTCCACTCATCCTTCATATCTTGAGCATTCATTTGCATGTAGGAGACATTTTCAAGACCCATATTAGCTTCGTCTCTTCTTTTGTTCGCTCCAACAACGGCATCAAGAGAAAAATCGATCCCAGTGAAAAATGACTTCGGATAATGCATCGCTAAAAACCCATCCACTAGCAGGAATGCTTAGTTTTCAGCAACATCAGCAGTTCTTCATCTGTTAGTAAAAGGCTGCCGCAGCAGCCGTTCATCTAGTGCTATGTAAAATTTTTAATTCCCGAAAAAAAGCAATACTGAAATTGAGAAACGATAGAGAAGTAGAAGTTTGTAACTGATACCTAATTCCGCAATATGCATGCCTCTTCCACATCCAACATCAAGGACCTGAATTCCGCCCTCTTCGAGTTTCTTCTGCATTCCAACTGAAGGCACAAAATGACTGACAAGACAGTCCTTATGCGAAGCTTCCGAAAACGCAGCCATCCTTTTATCAAACTCATCAAACATTGTATTGTCCATCCCTGAAGTCGAAAAAAATTTGAGTAAATTATGATTACTTCAGCATTTATAAGACTGCTTTGACAACAAAAACACGATAAAACTACAGATTTCTGGCAATATTATAGAACACTGAAGAAAGCGAAGAAACAGACGCTGCACAGCAATGAAGCGCAACATGCATCAGCGCATTACTTGCTTCCAGGAGAAAGTTGCAGCAATTTGGGAAGGAAGTCCAGTGGAGCGAGCCGAATTTGCAGAAAATCTTGTAGAGAGGTTCACATTCATACAGATGTACATTCAAAGCAGGCCAAAGCTGAGTAGGAATGCACGTGAGCTACACTAGTAACAAAGCGTACAAACCAACAAACAGATTTACTAAAAATATCCGCACAACTTCTACAGGCTGCCTGAAATGGCAGCGTATAGATAAATCTTACTAACATTGAGGAACCCTAGCAAGTAGTTTAAGCATTCTCAGCGAATCGTTTGAAAAATCTGTAGAAATGTTTAAGAAGATGGAACCTGAGGCGCGACTCAGTGGTACTAACTGTACAGCTACGTGTTACTGTGATACAACCACCCGTGTTAAAAATTCTTGTCCTGATAGTCGGCTTCCAAAACTTCCGCTTCGTTCTGTTTGCCACCATCTAGTTCTCAAGTGGACAAGCAGCAACTCGTTCAGACGTATTTTACTTTCTTTATGCATGATCGAAATACTGCGATAAGCGTACCAAGCGGCCCGTCTTTTCGGAAAAGTTCAGTAAGAGAAGGATACGCTTTAGCGGACATGAGCACAGCTTGTTGATAGATTAATAATGCATCAGGTTTTTCACCACAGAGGTGACCAACACGATCTTCACTGATCCAGAAACGTTTGCCATTCTCATCAACGTCGATAATCTTGCCAGAAGCCATTAAACACAACCATTCGCGAATGTAGCTAAAAAAAATTCATGCTGTCAAATTACAAAGCGAGAAAATCTGTTTGTAATTACTAAGAATAAAAAGACCGCTCAGACATCACTGTGGCTGTCCCATGTTAGTGATGTTATTAAGATGCTTCCATACGTCGGGCACAACTACGCCAGGCGTTTCGATCATGAGTTGGATACCTCCAGTTAGCACTCACCACCTCCCCGTTGTATGTGCTCCATCTCTTTGGGGAGTGGAGGGGAAAATCTGTT